TCTTGCATATTGTGAAGAATCTCGGTTTAGCATTGCTTTGGAGGCTCAAATTCAAGTTTCCAATACGAATTTGGATTAAAGTTTCAGTATATACATAGATAGTGAAATTGTGGGGTTCATTTCTTTCTTTGTGTTTCCACTTTTGGATGCTATCGTTATCAGAAATTTGGAAAGAAATTGTTATTGAATGGAAGAAGAAGGAGCTTGTTTGGAAAGCTCAACAGAGGAAATTATGGAGAATGTAAATAGTAGAATGCCTGAATTGAAGCGAGACCGTGAATGTGTTGAACCCGAACCACAATCCGAACCGGAGGCATCCCCTAACAAAAAACAAGCGAAAGAAGTTTGGAATGAGGATATTCAATCAGAGGTTTCGAATCCAATTGTTTCTCCAAAAGAAAACACGTCTAATTTTTATGACATAAGCAGTAGAAACCAAGTTGGTTGCGGTGAGGTTACGTCTCTGTGTTCTGGGAATTCGAGCTCAGAGGAGACTCTCAGTGATAGTTCTGAAACTGGTGATACCTCTGGTGTTGTGTCGAGTTCCCATGTTACATTGGAAATTCCGAAGCATCTGAGTTCGTCAGGGATTAGGAAAATTACGTTTAAATTTAGCAAAAGGAAGGAGGATTATGATAATGAAACGTCAGTTTCAGTTGGTGGGGAATGCATGAATCCGGAAAATGGTTCAATTGAATGGAGTAGTCGATATTCTTGTGCTCCCAATATGGAATTGAAAATGTCTAAGAAGGTTGTTCCTAGTAACTACCCTACAAATGTTAAGAAGTTGTTAGGTACTGGCATTCTTGATGGAGCCCGAGTGAAGTATATTTCTATCTCGATGGCGGTAAGTTGTTTTTTTTTTTTTATTTAAATGGAGGTTAATTTTGTTTTTGTAAGTGTTAATTTATTCATGAAAGTTATTAACATTTCTTTTATGATTGTCAGAGAGTGCTGGATGGAATTGTTCATGCGGGTGGATATTTGTGTGGGTGCTCATTTTGTAATTTCTCTAAAGTAAGTCACTCAATTGTTCTAATTATTACTCGCATTATTTTTCCTTTTAGTGCTTGTTATATATTTTTTTTTCAGCTGAATGGTTGTGTGGTGTGCGAGTAGGTGCTGAGTGCTCATGAGTTTGAGCAGCATGCTGGTGCCAAAACCAGGCATCCAAATAATCACATATTCTTGGAAAATGGGAAGCCAATATATAATATTATTCAAGAACTAAAGAATGCTCCAGTCAGCAGTCTGGATGAAGTGATAAAAGATGTTGCTGGTTCATCTATAAACGAGGAGTCCTTTCAGGATTGGAAAGGTAATAATTCTGTTAATGCTTTGAAGGGGTTTGTCTTGGTTGGGTGTAGTTCTACCTCTTACGGTATATCAGGTCTTTTCGATTTCTTGAATGGATTTGTAATTCATTTTTTTTCTTGAAATACTACTTATTTGATACACTGCAAATTCTTCTGAAAGTAGAAGAAACAGAAAGATGAGAATTGAATTAGAGGACAGCCATTTTACCTGGGGTTGCTTCCCTTACATGTTATGGGCAAGTGTATTTAGGGTCTCAAGCTTCCAAGTCTAGGTGTGCAAATCGACCACAAAACCATAGAAGAGGATAAGTATCTAGGATCAGGTTGCATACGTGTACATTGTAGCTTGTCCGATACATCCAATGCTTGTAAACATTAACATGGAAATTTATGAGAGTGCAATAATGGAAATTAACTCTAATTGGGAAGGACTTGTATGGATATGGACTAAATCAGAGGACAGCAATTACATTTGAGGTAACTGCCGTCAGATCCGGTTGGCATGTGTAAAGTTTAAGCAGAGAAGGTAAGTTAGAGTGGCCCACTTAAGCAGTGGTTGCGAGAATAAAAGAAACAACGCAGACTCTTCTGCCCTCTCGCATGTAGTTGTGCTATAAGAAAATTTGATTCTCTTTCCCCCTTTCTGCAATCTCATTGTGTTGGAAGTCAGGGCGGAGTTTTAGAGTTAGATCTCAAATCAGCTTTTCCAGGTATATTAGTAGAGATATTGTCAACCTGCTTACAGGAAGGAAAACCTGATTTTCTACTCTGCCAGAATACAGCCACTTTTTTTTTCTCTCCCTATCGTTCAGGTTTTGACGTAGTGTTATGTTCTGCAGCTAGTCTTCAGCGAAGTAACGGAAAGGTTGAAGCAGAGAAGAAATATAACATGAAGTTTTCTAGTTTGCCTAATTCTCGAAGGTAAAGCGATCTCAAGTTTTTTGGTGACTTCTATTTCTATTACCTGCTTGTTTCAACTTTTTAAAATGTTTTCTTCAGTATCCTTATCTGATGACAGGTTTCATTGAATCCAAAAGCGATCTTGAGTTTTTTGGTGACTTATATTTAAATTGCCTGCGTGTTTCAATTTTTAAAATATTTTTCTTCATATCCTTATCTGATGACAGGTTTCATTGAATCGATTCTTGGGTTTCAATCTGGATAGGATTGTACTCTGTTTGTTTTATCCTAGGTGCTTAGTGGAATTGAATCTAGCATTTGAATGTCATGTTTGCTTTTTTGATGTAGTTCTTATAGGAGTTGTTGGAGAGAACTTTTTTTTTTGACTAATTTACAAAAATTGCATGATTAATACTAATCTTGAGGAGGGCTGTTCTCTATGACCAAAGAAGCTTTATTTTCTATTCTTTTCCCAAAAATGCTTTTGAGAATTGTTAGTTTTTGCGTTTGAATGGTGATTTTTGGTCTTGTTCTTTGATGATCAAGTTTCTAATGATAATGATATTTATTTGAACTTTCAGCTGCAACGGTAAATCTGTAGGAGAAAGGATGGGCCCAATTTCAAGTGCTTTAATGCAGAATAACCCTGTTAGACAGTAAGTATTTATGGAGACCGTGGAAGAGTGGAAAAACATTCTGAAAAGTTTGTCCTCTTGCACTCCTCCCTGTATAGTGTCTATGAAGCTTTCGTACATGGTTTCTTCCGCTTTTGGTGGTGCATGTTATTAGAGCTTTCTACATTTCTCATTAAATGGGTTCTTTTGTCCTTTTATTTTTCCACACTTCACTAACATTCTACCTTTTTTATAGGCCTAACTTGTGCGTTTCTAGCTCAGTCTTGCAACAAAAGAGAACTGCCGAAGGTGTGACGAAGAAAAGGTATGCTGTGGCATTTTGTGCTCCCTCTCTATGTAAATTATAGATCTGCCTGAATTAAGCTGAAATTTTTTTAAATCGTTGGCAGGGATAATGATTTACACCGGCTGCTTTTTATGCCGCAAGGACTTCCAGATGGCGCTGAATTGGCTTACTTTATCAAAGGACAGGTGTGATGTTTTTTAGAAAATAAAATGGTTCATTGGCAATAATTTATGCCTTTTATTGACAGCGAGTTTTCTTTTCAGAAGTTACTTGAAGGCTACAAGCAGGGAAATGGTATAGTCTGCGGCTGTTGTTTGAAAGAGGTAAGTTTCTAATTTATTATTAATTTGGTGCTAGGTCACCTCTCTCATCTATGTTTTTCTTTTCTTTTATTTGTTTTGGTGTGAGCAGCTTAGCCCTTCACAGTTTGAAGCACATGCTGGAATGGCTGCCAGGAGACAACCGTGAGTGGTCTTTACGAAATTTGATCTTTCCCTAGTATGTTTTGAGTGATTCATTGTTACTTTTGTTTCTTTTCGCAGGTATCGTCACATCTATACATCTAATGGAGTGACACTTCATGATATAGCCTTGTCATTGGCAAATGGGCAGCGCATTACAACTGGTTACAGTGATGATATGTGTGCACTATGTGGAGATGCTGGAGATCTGCTTCTTTGTTGTGAATGCCCTCAGGCTTTTCATCCAGGTGTGTAATTTTTTTTCAGCCCTTTTTTTGGTTTATATTTTTTGTTTAAATAGGTACTTGATTTGCAGTTGATGTTACAAAAATTTGATACTGGATGGCCTACATACTTACTTCGATGTTTTCATGATACTTCATGTGACCAGTTCATTTACTACACATTGCATGTGACTCAGGATTTGAAGCTCTAGTTGGCTTTGTGCATTCATGCCGAAAGATAATCATGATCGTCTTTCTATGAATTATTTTCAAATAATAAAATGGTGGATGTAAATGTCATCTTAACTTATTGTCATTTTACATCTTAGTTATAAAAATATGTTTGATACTGAAGTCTGTATGTTGTGGCCTGATTTTTCTTTTTGGAGTAAGTTTTTCTTTCATCATTAATTCCATTGAATGTCTTTGTTGCAGCTTGTTTGAATTTACAGCACCTTCCTGAAGGCGACTGGCGTTGTGCAAATTGTGCAGATGGACATGGTCCTGGTAGAAAAGCTGCTTCAGGAGCAAGACCAATCCTGATACGATTGAAACGAGTTGTTAAAGCACCAGAATTTGAAATTGGTGGCTGTGCAATTTGCAGGTTGGTGCCTCTGGATTTTTTAATTTGTTTCCAGCTTATTCTGTTCTTGAGAATACCAATATGTTAAAATATGAGCTTGGATGTGTGAGTAAATTCCTCCATCTATATTTTTGTAATAATTTATCACACAGGCATGCTGGAATTGAAACTAGTGGAATTGTTGATGGAGGGCCTTTTTATGAGTCAATACTCTCTTGATAGTTTCTTATTTGGAATTTCTTGTTCCTGGTTTTTCTTTTGCCATTTCATTTATGGATTTCTTACATGTTTACTGCTTTTAGTCATATCTGTTACTGATATACGTGTTATGAGATGATTATTATTATTTTTTTTCAGGGCCTTTGACTTTAATGCCTCTGAGTTCAATGATCGAACTGTTATTCTCTGTGACCAAGTATGTGCAGTTTACCAATCCAATTTCTGTCGAAGCAAGCATTTCTTTTGGTGTAATGTTATTTGTCTTTTTCTTGTCTTTTCTTAGTGTGAGAAGGAGTTTCATGTTGGTTGCCTGCGGGATAGTGGACGATGCGATTTGAAAGTAAGTCTGAAATGTTCTGGGAGATTAATTATTAACAAATACATTCTAGTTGAAGTGTTTAATTTTTTTTTTTTCATGTTTTTGCTCTGCACAACAGGAAATTCCCAAGGATAAATGGTTCTGTTGTGATGACTGCAACATGATTCATGAGGTTCTCCAGAGTTCTGTTTCCAATGGGGTGCAAATAATTCCTACTTCGTTCTCAGATATAATCAGAAGGAAGCATTTAGAAAAAGGATTATTTATTGATGGAGCCATAGATTGTGTTCAATGGCGAATAATGAGTGGAAAAAGCCGTTATCCTGAACATCTGCCATTACTATCCAGTGCAGCTGCAATATTCCGAGTAAGATTTTTCTGATATGAAACATATTAGCTTTCATTGTATATGTTACTTTTTGACCAAACTTTTTGGTCATAACTGGGAGTTTGGTGTGTATGATGATGCATGTTAACGAAACTTTACAATTTGTAATTTGATCTAAGGTCAGGGCAATGACTTGTTATGACTTTTGAACAATGTATAAAAGGAACTTGTTCTCGGAATTTATTCAGATGGGTTCACAGACATGTTTGCAGGACTGCTATTTGCTTATACTTTTATCCACATTTCAGCTTATAGTTTTAATTAAAGCAGTTGAAATTCTTAAGCATACAATAGAGGAGGTTGGGGTACAAAGGAAATTATGAATCTAGGAGAGTAGGATTGCTTATACATTTTTTGTGCATGTATAATGGATGGCTGATGGATAGTATTAAGATCCAGCTTAATAAAAGAAAAATTGTACTTCTCAGATCAAATTGATGAAAGCCGATCTGTCCAAATCATTAGAAGTGCATTTGAGGTAAAGCCTAAAAGATAAACTAATTTGGGACTGAATTTGATTACAGTCAGAAGTATTTGTTTTTTCCATGGGATTTTTGTGAATATACCTGCATATATATACTAGCTGCCTTTAGATGGTTGATTATCCTGCAGATATTTTATTTATTTCAGTCATATTTAGCAATTGCCTGTCTGGTCAAGTTTTGCACTTCCTTTTTGACAGGAATGTTTTGATCCCATTGTTGCAAAATCTGGTCGTGATTTGATTCCTGTCATGGTTTATGGGTAAATACTGATTCTTCCCCCTTCCTACCATTTAGATTGTTCCACTGTTTTAGTTTCTTTTTTGCCTTCAAAGAAAATTTGAAAAACCTCTTTATGATCAGAAAAAGTGTTCTCAAGAAAATGTTTATATCTATACGTGGTTAAATGGACATGTTGCTTGATTTATCAAAATTTTCGCACCTCAATGGTATTGCTAACAATGTCAAGAGAAATAGTTTACAAGTAGTCTGGTTTGTTCTGACTGGATCTGATGATTCCTTGAACCTTTTTTAGGAGAAATATATCTGGACAGGAGTTTGGCGGAATGTATTGTGTGGTTTTGATTGTAAGGTATACTCTCTCTCTCTCTCCCTCATGGGGGATGGGGTTGCAAGGTGTTCTTGTCTTGTTTTCACTTAATTATTTGATTGCTGTATCAATTTATACAAGGTGCATATAATCCATGCACAGGTCTGTTGTTGTATCAGCTGGTCTTCTTAGGATATTTGGTCAGGAGGTTGCTGAGCTCCCTATAGTGGCTACAAGTAGAGAACATCAAGGAAAAGTAAGTGCTTTCACAGATTGGACTAAGAATATGCTGTGTTGCTGCTGCCAACTTTAATCCTCCTCTTCTAGTCTGTTTGAAGTTCAATGCAATTATATATTCAACTTTACTAACTTGTCACCTTATAATGCTTAAATATGGACCACTAACACTGCTATACTCTCACATAGTTTGTCGATTTTGTTCTGTTCTAAGCACAATGCAATGCTAATGTCGAACCATTCCAACTTATCATCTCTGATCTTTGCCATAGGGATATTTCCAGGCATTATTTGCTTGTATTGAGAGGTTACTAAGTTCCCTGAATGTGGAAAACCTAGTGCTCCCTGCGGCTGAGGAAGCTTTGTCAATCTGGACAAAGAAATTCGGCTTTACAAAGATGAGTGAGCAGCAAGTAAGGGCATTCTAAACCTTTTACCTGTCCGTACCAAATAATAAACAAGAGAGAATTAACCATTGTGAGCTTAATTTTATGTTCAGTTGCTCGAGTACCAAAAGCAGCTCCAGTTGACGATCTTCAAGGGAACGTCCATGCTCGAGAAAAAGGTGCCTTCAATGGTGGAATGACTCTGTTCATCTTGCCAATAACCTCTCATCAGAACAACCTGAGTTGGCATTAGTTACATTTGCTTTTCCCTCCTTTTGTATAATCGGTGGGAAAAAGTTTCCCTTTATTTCCAGTTTAATTTGTTAGTCGTACAAACTAGGACTTTAAAAAGTGAACGATTTGATAGGGGACTTGGCGGGAAGATTGACCGCAATCAAATCAAACAAAGGCATTGCATGCAGCATGGCATGCTGACTTCATGCGTGCGTGCGGCAAGAAAACTTTCATATCTGTTTTTCTTTTAGTATTTTTTAAAAGCTTTTTTAATATGTAAAAAAGAAAAAAAGGAAGAATAAATAATTTTTTAGCTAAGCGGTAAATATCTTCGTGCTTCCATTGGTAAAATGGAAAACCGACGGAAAACGTAAAAGGATGAGCTTATTATGGCTTGTCCATAATTTTCACATGTGCTTTGTTTTTTTTCATTTGTTAGATAATATTAATTGTTATTATGGAATGAAAGAATTATTCCTTTAGGCTCCGTTTAGAAAGCATATAAATGTTTTATAAAATTGCCATATTTTAGGTAATTTTAGTGATTGAAAGCGGGAAAATGTGAAAATGGGTGTAAAAAATTTGAGTTCAATAGAAGTAAATGTATAGATTACAGAAATAGTGTTATATTTTTTGATATAAGATAATTTTGCGAAAACAAACTTTCTATTAGAAGTGAGCAATTGGGTAGTTTTGCGTATCAAATATTTTTAATAAATTGATCAATACTAATTAAATATAAAAAAATGAATTGATCAAGCATTGAATGAGTTCAATCAATTTAATTTTAGATTGAAAAAATTAAATTTTTTTCACTTGTAAATTATAATATTAAAATTTATAATTTTCATAGATAATTATAAAATATGGAATACAATTAGTAATGAAAATATATATCTTATATAAATTTAAAGACTATATATAACATTAGTGTGGTTTTTTGGTGAGTTTGATATAAAAATAAAAATCGAATATCGATCAAATAAATTAATTAAATCAAACTCCTTAAACTAATAAATTCAATAAATCAATTGAATCGAATAATTTTACTCAAATCACATTTGATTTGGTTAAATAATTAACCCGGTTTAATTTTGCTCACCTGCATTCTCTACTTTTTTTTAGCAGGATTCGTTCAATTCTTTCTTCTTTTAATTGTTATTTTTTTAAAATTTTTTTAATTTTTTTAAATAATAAATAATATTAAATTTTTAATTAAAAATTATTAGCAAGATAAATTTTTATTACCAAACATAGTAGATGGATACATTTTTACATGCAGATGCTGACAAAGGCCGATATTTTCTTCCTAATCTTTTTCCTTTTGTCCATATATTCCTTATCAATTTATATATGATTTATCTCTATATATATATATATATTCCATAATAGTAATTTCTTATTTTTCAAAAAAAGCAAGGGATATTAAGTTTTATACTTTAAAAAGAAGAAAAAAAAAATGATTTTAACTCAAAATCACATATCCTCCTTTTCTTAAAAAATTGTCACGAAGCTCTACCGAACTTTAATAAACAAATAGGAAAGAAAAAAATTATAATTAATCGCTTATCAAATGCATATCAATTGGCCGGGACGTTCCACCGCACCCGGCACTTCATAGTCACGCAAGCAGCGGATCAATCTGTAACTGGAAGCTTCGAAGCTTAACGGAGTCCAAACGGAGTTTAAGCAGTTCACTTTCAACAATTTAAACCCATAAACCCTTAAACCCTAGTAGAGTCCAACTGCTTTTATTTTTCCAACTGCCGTCTGCTCTACCTCTTTTGACTCCGTTCCTATGGCTTTCGCTTCCAGATTCCGCCGCATCTTCACCGGCCCCTCCCCTCTTTGTTATCAGTTCGCTTCGGTTCGTCTGAATTCGACTCTAACTTCCCCGAAGCTCTTTATCAGCGGTATTTTCACATTTCCTTTGTTTTTCCTCGGTTGTCATTTCCATTTCTTTTTTTTATATTCAGATTGAATATTTATCTTTTTTGTTGTGTTAATGAAAATTAAAAGAAAATTAGAGGGAAAATGGAAGCCATCTTATAAAATTAGGGAAAACGTGATTAAATTATAAAAAATAAATGCTTACATAAGATGCTAATAGTAAGCTACGGAGTGAAAATTGGAGAATTTATTCCTTTTTCTGTTGAATTAAACATAAAGCATAAATTTATGGGGATAATCAAGCTTTATAGGCGTAACCTCTATGAAAAACTACCATTTCTAATCAGAAGATGGGTTAGTAGGAAGAAACCCTATAAGAAAAAAGTTTGATCCTTTAGTATGAATCACGTTGCCTTTCTTACCTTTTTATTTATGCCACACAGAATTTAGTGTTTCCCTTGTCTTTAGTCTTAATTGTGCGCTGCAATCACTTTATTACTGAAGAGGTAGGTGAACAAAGGATTGAAGTGGTGTCTATCGATTTGTGCCGTGCTATTGTGCCTATGGACCTTTCCAACCAGAGGTTCCAAGTTCTGATGGTTTTTGTAACCCTGAGGAGTCCTTGCAATGTGATAACTGGTTCAGGGTCCTTAGTCTGTATGGGAAGCTGGCATTCATTGGGTCAAGGATTATTTTGATTGAGGTGGTGTCTGGTGAAACCTAGTATAATAATTGGCGTTGGATTAGTTGGATTAAGGTGGCATCCCGTGGAGCCTGATAAATATCTTGTGGTAACATTAAGTTCAATGCTATTATCCCATTATGATTGATTGGCGTTAAATGACAATTTTTCAGGCAAAAGGAAAGGATTTTGTGGACTGCTGATTTCTTTGTCCGCTTAATAGTCGGATGTTGTTGTTAAAGTGCCAACTTGCGAGCATGTAATTCTCCCGGCTTTGAGTGGTAGCAAAATCTACAGAAATAGTTTTCTAGATGCATTAACAGTTGTAGAGTTGTTGATAGAAAAATCTATAGAACAAAGGATTGAAGTGGTGTCTGTCGTGTTGTGCCGTGCCATTGTGCCTATGGACCTTTCCAAACAGACGTTCAAAATTCTGTGGCATCTTCTATGACGGTTTTTGTAACCCTGAGGAGTCCTTGCAATGTGATAACTGGTTCAGGTCCTTAGTCTTCACGAGAAGCTGGCATTCATTGGGTGTTAAGGATTAGTTTGATTGAGGTGGTGTCTAGTGAAACCTAGTATAAAGATTAAGGTGGCATCTCTTGGAGCCTGATAAATATCTTGTGATAACATTAAGTTCAATGCTATTATCTCTTATGATTGATTGGCGTTGAAATGACATTTTTCAGGCAAAAGGAAAGGATTTTTTGGACGGCTGATTTCTTTGTCCGCTTAATAGTCGGATGTTGTTGTCAAAGTGCCAACTTGCAAGCATGTAATTCTCATGGCTTTGAGTGGTATTAAAATCTATAGAAATAGTTTTCTAGATGCATTAACAGTTGTAGGATTGTTAGTGGCTTGCGATGGCTTCTTTCGTGTGATGAACTGCCCTTTCATTTTGTTTGGCTGCTTTCTGGTTACACAAGGGTTTCAAAAGAAAACATTCAAGTAGATAATGTTGAACCTAGTCACAATAGTGGGTTAGATGGAGAATGAATAGCATTCATATAAAAGTGGCAGGAAAGTTCTGAGATTGGCTTTGTGTCTCGATATGCGTGTGGATCAGATGCGTATTCTCTTGTAAATTGTTGAAAATGAGAGGTTGTAACTATGTATAAAGCAGAAAGGTGAAAGTCCTGTCCTCTCATTTTCACCTTTTCATTTAACCCAAGATCATGTCTAGGTTCAACTTATTTTATTCTCTGAGACTCTAAGCTGCCCATTTGTTTCCTACAGAAGTGGAGAACACAGTATAAGTAACTAGAGCTGGCACTTACTTTACCAAGCAACAAGAACTAAGTGAAAGGGTATGCCAGGTGCCCACTAGAGTTCCCCTGGGCACTTCAGCTGATTTCTATAGAGCTCAAAACCTCTTTAGCTGTCTACTGAAGTGTTTGGGGGAACTCCGGTTGCCATCTGAGACAGTTATAATTAGGATGTTCCTAATTACAGGGCTGAAAACTAGGTTTAGAATTCAAAAGGGATTTTGGCTCACATATGAATTCTGTCATATGTAGGTGCATGCTGAAATTTTAGTTAGCTTCACCCTTTTTCTCCATAAGGTGGTGGTGTTCCTGCTGGAGGAAACTAATGACTGAACTTTACATCATACCTTTTTTCGTCTTATATTTCATTTATTTGTTCCTTTTATTATTGTCTGCTGACACTTTTTGTATCACACACGCCCCTTTTCTTGGTATATTAAACAGGTCTTTCAAGAGAAACAACAGACGAACAGTTTAAAGAGGCATTCACTCCATTTGGCCAGATTGTTGAAGGTTTAACTCAACACCCCACTTTTCCTTCCTCATACTGTCTTCTTTTTCTTTGATCTTTAGAGTTAAGTTTCTTCACTGGCATACTTCTTCCTTCTGCTTTCATCCTGATATACTCTCTAAATGTTCTTGCAGCCAAAGTCATAAGAGATAGAGCCACTGGAAGGTCAAAGGGATTTGGTTTTGTTACATATACAGCCATCGAACAAGCTGAGAAGGCTAGAGAAGAAATGAATGCCAAGTTCTTGCATGGATGGGTTATTTTTGTAGACCCTGCCAAACCAAGGGAACCCAGATCTCCACCTAGATCAGAATCTGAGTCGTCTGAATTTGGTTTCAGAACAAACAAAACTGTTGGATGGTCCGGGTAGTTGAGACGAACGAGGACAGGGCCATGGAGGGATTTATTTGAAGGCTAAGATACATATATTACCTTATATTTTAGCAAAAGAAGTTGAATCAATGATTTATTCATTCTGGGATGGGGAAAACTGTTACCCTGTTTTGTACTGAACTCATTCTGTTATCCTTCTTGGAGCTGTTAATTGTACTGTGCTAAAAGTTCAATAGGTACATGCAAGCATTCAAACTCATAAAGGTTTCTATGCTTATGATATCCCTTTGATCACTCAAACAAACTTTCTAACTATAACTACTAAACATACCAAGAAGCCCATAGCAAAATTCCTTGACCATCCAAGCAGATTGATATTTTTATTTTTTGTTTTCCTCCTGTAAAATATGAATAGAAAGCAAAAAGTAGGACATTATATTTCTCATATTAGCTATGTTACTAGTCTACTACTAACTTCCAAGCCTAAGGGTGAAGACATTCTAGCTAAAATTTATTCAAATATATCGAATAAATTGATTTCATCATTTAAAATTTAAATGATCAATTATCACAATGGGCTCATAAGTTGCAATGCATTCGAATAAATCTTTATATTTTTATTGTATTCAATTAAATTCTTATATTTTTTTTGTAAATTAAATAAACCCTTATATTTTTATTTTATGTTAAATAAATTTTTATAATTAATGGTTGTCTTAATCAAAATATCATTTATTATTTTATATCACATGACACTGACATAATACGTGGTATATTAACATGTCATAATGAATGATGACATAATATATTAATGTAACATAATGACATGAGCATATCACATTTTTCACTTTCAACATTAAAGTCACATTGATATAAAATAACAATAGACATTGGATTATTAATAATTAATCAATTATTAATTATAAAAATTTATTTAAATTAAAATAAAAACACAAAAACTTAATTAAATATAACAAAAACAAACTTATTTCAATTTTATTAAATAACTGAAAAACTTTTTGAGTATTATGGCTATTTTTATTTTCCTAGTAGCTGCTGTTGAGTAGTATACTACGGGCCTATTTGTGAGGGGCTGCTACCGCACAGACCCTCCAATTTCCCCCAAATGCCCTTGAATCGGGCTTTGGCCCGAAAACCAGATACGGGTTTTGGGTGAGTAAACAAATCCATCTCAGTGAGAATCCCATGGTGATCTGGCCCAAAACCACAGACGATTTTAACTTTATTCGCAATTATTACAGCAAGAACAGCGTGGATTCCACGTGGAATAATTCATCCCGCGCCTCGCCCTCGGCCGTTCAACTCTGACTCTGCTGCCCAAAAACCCTCACAAAATCTCCTCCTCTTTTCCTCTTTTCTTCCATTTCTCGCCATTTTCAGTCTCCCCTCCAAAAACCAGAGCCAAAAGATTCCCCAATCCTCACACTCTCACTTTCACAAATGTATTCATGTGCTCCGCATTTCGTTTCTTTGAAATTCTCCGGAATGTTTTCCCCAAAGGTCGACGCACTTTTCTCTTTTCCTACTGAAACTCTCTGTTTGGCTGCGTTTGACAATTTAGGGCCAGCCGAACATAGAATATATATATATATATATATATATAAAAATAACTTTACAGAGTTACTAGATAATGAGTGATTTTTAATTTTGTTTTTTTGTTTTTTTTATATTCTATTTTGCAGATTATAAGCTCTATTTGTTCCTCAAAGGCAGATTTTAAAGTATTTGCGGCTGCATCGGATGTTAATGAGGCGTCCAGTTACATACCTGCAGCTCCTATTCTTCTCCCTGACGGAGTGTGGAAGCAGGTCAGCCACTTGATTATTTGGTTGTTAATTCTTTGTAAGTTTCATTTGGACTTTAAAATTTCTATCAACGTTTGCTAATTTATTGTTTTCTTTGTTCCGGCTGGAATTACATAGATTCCGGGGGGAGTTACTGCTGCTAAGGGATTTAAAGCCGCGGGCTTGTATGGTGGATTACGCGCCAAAGGAGAAAAACCTGATCTTGCGCTTGTCACTTGCGACGTTGATGCCAATGTTGCAGGTGAAGTTTTGTTTGGTGGAAATTTGGAAAGCTTATTCTTTATTTAGTTACATTATGATATATTTCTTCTTTACAGTTTTGTTTTTTTTTTTTTTAATGAAGGTGAGTTGAGGGTTGATTTTCTGGCTATAAAATAACTTGTTTGGAATTTTATTCCCCAGGGGCATTTACTACCAATGTGGTTGCAGCAGCACCTGTGGTGTATTGCAAGAATGTGTTAAGTAGTACAAAAACGGTATGTCAGATTGGCTACCTAATTCATGGTTGTGTAGGAAGGAAGATGCTCTTGTAGATTTAGTCTTGAACTGAAGAAACAATTTGATTTTGAATTGCCTGCGTGGGAGATCATAGCTTTAGTCTTTTAGATGTTCGTTTGGCATGTATGTAGATATCTGCCCAGTTCAGTTATATATATGGGTTGATTTTCCAAGTTACATGGCTAATGACTAAATCAAGAATCTTGTCAGGCACGGGCTGTGTTAATAAATGCTGGGCAGGCCAATGCAGCAACGGTATGTCAAAGTAGCATTATTTTCTATTTGTTTAGTCTTTATCTGGATGCCATGTGCTTATAAAATAGTGTACCATTTCTTGGTGTATTTTAAACATGGCAGAAAATGGAAAAAGAATCAGTCTTTGACACTTTATTATTGTTTAAGCATTTGAGACATGCCAGATTGAATCAGGTTTTACATGGCTAATTGACCTTCCAATGATGTTCAGGGTGATGCTGGTTACCAGGATGTGTTAGAGTGCACAAATGCCCTTGCTACAGTATACAACTTTTAGAGCATAATATTCCTTGTTATCATGGTGGTCTTGTACAGGCTGGGTTCCTTTTCACTTTCTTTTATCATTTGCATTGTTGCAGATCCTTCAAATAAGGCCTGAGGAAGTGTTGATTGAATCCACTGGTGTGATTGGTCATAGAATAAAGAAGGTGCACATTGCTGTCTCTTTTTTAACTTGAACATGTACATCCTATTTATATGCTTACTTCTTATGCTTATCTATTATTGTGCCATTGAAGTGAATTGCAATTATAGTTTTGGCCAGACTAATGTAATACCATCCATGCTCAATCTTAAGTTGATATTCTGTTGATAATGTCTTATGCAGGAAGCGCTTTTGAGTTCACTCCCAAGCCTAGTTAATTCACTATCACCGTCTATTCAAGGGTACTTATTATGCGTATTCTTCTTTTTCTTCACTCCCCTCCCCTCCGCTCTCTTTCTCTTTTTTTTTTTTTTTGGTTTTGGAGGAGGGTGGGGATGTGTGTGTGTGTGTGTGTGATGACGGTGGGGTTTATTTACATGCTTCACAATGGGCTAGATTCAGTTAATTGGATCCATGAAGTTATGGAATTATGATATTTTTCCATGGTTGGTAAATTACAAATGGCACTTGAGGTCTAACACTTAGTTGAGCAGGAATTCAATTATATATCTTTAAATGATAACATAATTAGTCTTCTGTGTGGTTGTATATCAATTTTTGCTACACACTGTTGATCATATTGTGGCTGTGCAGGGCAGATTCTGCGGCAGTGGCAATCACCACAACGGACCTTGTTAGCAAGAGTGTGGCCATTGAATATGAGGTAAGTAACAATTTCAAAGGGTTATCAATTTAACACTAATTACCTCTTTGCTATTATTTAGTAATTGTTTCTTAGATATCAATATCTTTTCCAATTTAGATGAGAGCATTATCTCAACTCTGTAGAACTTGAAGGCCTTTAAAGAATCAAGTCGTTTATAAATTGCATCTCAAAGCAAGCACAAGTGTCCTTAAATAAATAATTATTTATCAGGTTCGAGGGACAAGTGTAAGAGTTGGGGGAATGGCAAAAGGTTCTGGGATGATTCACCCAAACATGGCAACCATGCTCGGTGTATGTTTTTAAAATGTATCCAACTTTTCTAAAGCATGTAACTCCAATTCTATTCTCAAGGCTGATAACTCTTTCAGGTAATAACAACTGATGCCCTTGTTGAAAGTGATGTCTGGAGAAAGATGGTTCAAGTTGCCGTAGGCCACAGTTTCAACCAAATCACTGTATGCAATTTTGTTGCTTTTAATGCTCCCTGTTACTTGTTTCAATTAGGTGGCATCTTAGTTGAATGGACCCCTTTTCATGCATGACATGGTCTAATTGGTCTCTACTTTGTCTTTAGCAAGTTCGTTTATTGCTTTGCTATAGGTTGATGGAGATACCAGTACCAATGATACTGTCATTGCTTTTGCCAGTGGACTATCTGGATCAAATTGGATCACTTCTATGAACAGTTATGAGGCTGCACTTCTTCAAACAGGTCTTGATGCAGTAAGTTTGGCCGATTGAGCTTTTCCTTCATCCTATCCAGTTTAAATTAGGCTTCTTAATTGCTGAATAAATTAGTATCGTTTCTGCACATCCCTATTTGCTCTGAGATAAGTAGTCTAAGTGGCATGATCTTGTCCTAAATGAAAATTTTGTTTCATTGATTGGGATATTTTTCCTGCTGAGAGTCTTAGTTCCTTGCCATTTATGTAAAACACTTTGGATCAATAGTTGTTTGGGATATTTTCTTATTGGCTATGCTGACACAAATATCCGCATTTATCTGTACCACAAGCCACTAGACTTTGGTTAAATCTTTTGGGATGATTGCACTTGGGTTACCCTTTTTGCTTAAAACCAGTGTTGGGATGAATTTGCCTGAAGTTTTAAAGTATCTCTTCACAGGTAATGCAAGGTCTTGCCAAGTCAATAGCTTGGGATGGAGAAGGAGCAACATGTCTAATTGAGGTCAGCATTCTTCAATGTTTTTTCTTTCCTCTTGTTTTGGTCACTAGAAAGATTTTTTTTTTTACTGAATGAACCAAGTTGAATAGCCTACATCTGCCTACAGCTCAATAAGACCCCTGATATTAAGCCTTTTTAACTAATAACTTGTTCTGATATTAGGGAGTAATTCATTTGAATTGTAGGCCGCAAAAATCTCTTGGGTGGTCTTTTTGTTTTTTTTTATTATGGAGGTTCTTGAATATGTTTAACCAACACTAACCTAGAGATGCAGGTCACAGTAACTGGTGCAGAAGGAGAGGCTGAAGCAGGAAAGATTGCACGCTCAGTGGCTGCTTCTTCACTTGTCAAGGCATGAAATTTGAACATAAAATCTATCTAATGGTTAATCTTAGCATTGTCTAATACAAATAATGATATCAGACTGCAGTATATGGGAGAGACCCAAACTGGGGACGTATAGCTGCTGCTGCTGGCTACTCAGGGATTTCTTTTGACCCAAACAACCTCCAGATACTGCTTGGAGATATTATGCTCATGGATGGTGGACAACCACTTGCGTTCAATAGGTAAGAAGTTTGCTTATGGCTGCTGTCTGTCCCCGTCTGTCCCTCCTCACAATGCAAAAAACATAAGATACATACTACAAAGAAAACAGTCAGCAAAGATTTTGAATTAAATTGTGAAACCACATATACAGCATTCACCTAGCTAGTGCCTTTTATGTCCCATTGGTAAATAAACCTGATTAGATCTTCTGTATGGTTACGGAGCAATTAGAGTTATTTAGAGGGTTGGGAAGTGACCCTGTGAATAAATTCAAGGCCTGTTATATCCAGCACCTTTTTATTCTTGTCCAACGTAATTTAATTGCCCTTTATGATATCAGGGTGGCAGCCAGCAACTATCTCATTAAGGCTGGTGAGACACATGGAACAGTGGAAATTAAAATCACTGTTGGTAAGTTTTCCCAAATTTGAGTCACAACATGCCCTTGAACTTGCAAATCTCAGGATTCTAATGTATTTGATGATTGGCCTGCAACAGGCGACGGATCGGGATATGGTAAGGCATGGGGATGTGATTTGAGTTACGACTATGTCAAGATAAATGCAGAATACACAACATAAAAGGCATTGTTGGAGTGAAAGTTACAATGTCCTGTACGGATGCTCTAGATTGTTCACCATGTATGACTTGGACAAACTAATAGAATAATACGCAGAAAACTCCATTGCATCTCGCGATTATTCTCATCGAAGAGTCACAAATAATATTCTATTTACAAAGCACATGACGGTACAGGTGCTGCCTTCTACACGGTATAAACAGCACATTAACAAAACTTTTCAAACCCACACCATAATCAAAATCCATTGCATAATTCTCCATTGTAATTGTTCAAAATATCCATAATAGAGAAAACAGAATCGAGCTTATTTATCTACATGGATTGTTAAAGCAACAGCTTTTCTCCATGATGTGAAAAGAGATGTATCATAGAGCCTCTGCCAAGGAGTAGTGCATCCTAGTGGGTGATTCTTTCAGAAAACTGCTCCCGCAATAGGGTTCTGGTTTGCCGACGGTGAAACCATCAAGTTCACCTGAGGTGTTGACTACTCTATCCCGAGCCTCCTGTGGTTTATAAGTCCTATCAGCATTCGCGCCACCTCTGCGAAATTGTTTGTTGTCTTTACCACCGCTACCACGTGAGTTATTACCCTTCTGCCCTTTCTTTCCATTTTTCTTCTTGTCATTGTTCTTCTTCAACCTCTGCTGCTTCTTGCCTCTAACTGTGTGCAATACTGACGTTGGTGGAGGATCATACACATCAGGGGCCCATGTCACACTCAGCTTCTTCGGCGATAATCCCTGTTTCTCACGGCTACCTTTGAGGGCAGACACTAGCTTCAAGGGAGTCTGATAATGGTAAATGTTGGTAAGAATGAAGGAATATGAAAAGGAGCAAGGAACCCAATGGATCTCTTCACAAGATGACCTTGAGGGTGCAACAGGCTAGGGAAACTTAAACAAATCAAAGTCCTAACTAAAGATTCTTAGAATAGAAGATATTAACAGCAACAAAAGACACTTACAGGCAAAGAAATTGAGCGGCAGTAAGGTGACTGCACTGAATCCTCTGTGAATATGCGCCGCAATGCAGTTTCAAGTTCATCATCATCTTCGGGAGGAGACACAGCGGAAGAAAATGATGCACACTTGCCTAAACACTTTTGAGGAGGTTTGCTTTGATGTCCTTGTTCAAGTAAGTTTTCCACATCATCACTCGTATCATCCCCATCCTTATCATCTTCATTCAAACAAGCATGAAGTATTGCCTGCTTTATGTCACTGAGATCATCTACCTCTCGGGAACCCAATACTTCCATTCGCAATACGGATGACTAGAAAGAATCCTAGCTGCCAAAGAAAATAAAAGCCAAGAAACAAAGGACAAATCATCATTCTCATAACTGTAAACTTTTAATCATAAACCTCAACAGGTAGAGCAGAAGAAAATGAAACCTAAATCAAACGTCATTACAATGATAGTTAATAAAAAGTGGAAAATGAATCCATCAATAGTCTTCCAAGAGAAAAAACTTATAGGCAGATAAAAAGTTCTTTACCCAGTTTAGAAGCTAATACTAAATCGCATCCCAACTCCAGCTGCATGTTTTCATATAACTAAGAACTTAAGCTTGAAACATTATAAGCAAATAAAAGAGACAAGCAAAAAATATTCTGAGATTCCTTCTTTGACAAGTAACATTCAAAGAAATGTAGCCAACAAATTCAAACATTTACAATATTTCCATAAAATGGTGCAAAATATTACAAAACTAAATCAGAAAAGGGAGAAATCAGTTTAATAGGGGAAAAATACACTAATTGCTTTGAATAATAAGCAAAATTTCCAACCAGATATCAGCTAGATACAGATTCATCACACGTGCGGATAAAATGCAAAATGGATTAGGATATACCTTCTTAAGAGTTAAGACGCCTGCAATCAATTCAAAACCTTAAAACCTCCGACAAGGGCGAACCTCAATTGACGATCGAACCCTAAAACCTCCGATTTTCTGAACAAGACTAGATTCCTTCGTCTAGTAGCGGAATAACCTCGGAAAGATCAGAAGAATCTAGAAGAAGACGGAGAACAGAGGGGAGAAGGAGAGACAAGAAGAGGGGGGAAAACTACTTCAACAAAATTAATGCGAAATGTTAACTAAGATTACCACGCCGATCACTCTTTTCCAGATGTTTCAAACGATGGGAACAAGAACCAGCATGAAATGGGGTCAAAGAAGGGATCAAGGGAAGCAAAATCGATTCAAAGGGTAACGAAGGCATATTAACTTTTTATGCTCTTCGAAACCCCTAATTATCTACCAGTAAAACCCCTATTTTGTTCTTTTCTTTAATGACCCGATCGAGATTTGGGAGAAGAAAAAAAAAAAACAAAACCCTAGAAAAAGATTAGGTAGGAGACGTTGAAGGAAAATGAGATCAGCGCTGGGATAGAAAGGCTGGATGGAGAAGAGATGCTGTACTCTATATTATAGGGAGGGGAAAGAATCTTGTGAGTCCAATGGATATTGGCAGTATTTGAAACCAAATCAGGAGCGTACAAGTTTCAATCAGGACTGTTCTTTTTCCGAGTCTGACTCAGATATTTTTGTTTGCTCACTTTTTATTTGGGTCGGCTTCGGCTTTTGGGTTATTGGTTTAGCCCCAACACGCTTGCTCAGACTTTATTTTATTTTATTTTTTTACCCACTTACTAAATATATTTAATTTTAAAAGTAATAACAGAAATTGATCTTTTAATTTTCGTTGTTACTAAACAAATAAAGGTTTAAGTAATGTCTGTATATGCTACTAAATATCTTTATTTTTTTTATTATACTTCAACCAACTTTATCATTTGATTTCTACCAACACTTAATAATCATCAATTTAAACATTAATTGATTTTTTGTGAATCCAACTATAACCTTGATTGATATTATCTGATATGATTAGATAATAATTGACGTGGTTGTATGATAATGGAAATGGATTTAAGTGATATAACTACATTATCAAATCATATACCACGTGAATAAAAAATATTAATTTATATCAAGTTTAATCGTTGATTTTTTTGTCATGGTTAAAGATTTGTATGAATAAAGAGTAAAAGATACTAATTTGTTTAGATATAATAAAAAAATAAAAACTTATTTATATATTTAGTTAGATTTGAAATATTTTTTATTCTGTAAGCTGTAAATGAAAAGTTTTCATATGAAAAAGGTTACATGCTGATGTCCACTGCAAATAAAATTATTGAATTAGATGTACCAATATTTAATATAATAATGCTGTCTTTTAGTGTGTTGGTTGAGAAAATATTGAATCCTTTACACTTTTAAATAAAAATGATTTTTTATTTGTATTTATAGTTGGGATCCATTTGAGTTTAAACTAAACTTTAGGTGTAACAAGCTCAAGATTTCAGTTCAATAAACATATTTATTAGGTGAAGGAAAGTTGTTAATTATAGTGTCAAGACCCATTTTATTTTTTTATTAATGAGGAGATCTGAGCATATTCTCATTGCATTATCTTTTTTTTCATCTCATTCTTGAGACTTGCAATGACGTTTTCTCTTCTTGGTATTTGATTTTACTTTTCACTATTTCTATTTAAAAATTTAAATTTTATATCGAATAAATAATAAGTGAATGAATGATTATTTGGTGACATAATATTGAAAATAATATATTTAATAATATTTCTACTGATATTATTATGTACTGTTTTCAAAATATGAAAAATCATGATAGATAATTATAGTTATTTTAAATATTTTTATTTATATTAAATGAATATGTTGAATTTACATTTTTTAATTTATTTTTAAAATTTATAATTTATAAATTTTAACATCTTCATATTTTTTAATTATTATTATATTTTAATTATAACACTACTTAAAAAAATTTTTAAATCTACCCTGCTAATGGTATCTCACATTAATAAAATTAGATAAACTCTAATATAAGTTTCCTTTAGAATGGGTTTACCCTCAAAATAGGTTAAGTTTGCGACTCTGAATGGGCTCAAGTACGCCCATGAATGGGTTACTATGAACAAAAATTATGAGCCGTTGATCTTGAATACTTGATTTCAACGATATAAAAATGACGTGGCTCCTTGCCCTGGGATTCTAATGAGTGAGACGGTTGCAGGCCAAGATTTTGAAGGTTGCCAATAAAATGTCGACACCTGTCTAACTCCCTCACAGGCTGTGGGGCCCACAATTAAAAACTTATCCAATCCATCCGACTGTTTTTCGCCAACTTGGCTACCCAAAAATCTATGTCTAAATCCACCATTTCATTGTTTTAATAGAAAAAAATGGAAAAAGCCAAAATGAAAAATGCGGCAGTCTGATTGGGCCCGTTCTGTTGCACGAGGATCCTCAAAGAAGGTCTTGTTCACCGTCGATTAAACAACCTATCGAACGGCTTCAAACCTCTAAGTCCGTCAGCCGATTGTCTCCCTGTTTTTGACCCAATCCCATATAAATCACAGCTCCTTCTAACACAAACAAAAATCCCTGAATTTTTTTTTTTGTGAAAAAGAAATTAACAGCAAGAATTCATTTTTCGTCTAATTTTCAAATTTTTTGAGTGATGGATGGCGGAGCGAAAGTGAAGAAGGGAGCCGGAGGAAGGAAAGGAGGCGGTCCGAAGAAGAAACCGGTTTCTCGCTCTGTAAAGGCCGGGTTGCAATTTCCTGTCGGCAGGATTGGTCGTTACTTGAAGAAAGGCCGTTACTCTCAGCGCGTGGGGACCGGTGCTCCCGTTTACCTCGCTGCTGTTCTCGAGTACCTTGCTGCCGAGGTAATTTCACCTTTCCATTGTTCTTTTCTTTCGTTTCTTGAATTTTTTTTGTTTGGCATTTTCGGGGGTTTTACGTGAAATTTTGTGTTTTTATCTTGAATCTGAAACCCCCACACCCCTTTTGTAATGTTTGAGATGTGTTGTTTTTTGATTCACTATTTAGGGTTTGGTAGGTTAGTGAGGAATTGGTAAAGAATAAAAGGAGAATTTATACTTGAATTAACTTGTTAATATCTTAATAGCTTTTCTGGGTAGTAAAATGGGGAACTTTTATGGTTCAAATAGTAACACAGAGCTAGAGGGCAGTAATTAGGTGTAGAAAGTACGAATTTGCTTTTAATTCTGTAAGAAATGATCGTCATTGAATTTGGGGTTACCTTTTTATCTTTTAAGGTTTCTTTTGGTTGGTGAATTGACGGTTTTAGATACCCTTAAGTACATTGCTATTCTGTTTCTGGTCTTTATTGGTTGTGTTTTTCAAGGTTCTGGAGTTGGCTGGTAATGCTGCGAGAGACAACAAGAAGAATAGAATCATTCCGAGGCATGTTCTTTTGGCTGTAAGGAATGACGAGGAACTTGGGAAGCTTTTGGCTGGTGTGACCATTGCTCACGGTGGAGTCTTACCCAACATTAACCCAGTTCTTCTGCCAAAGAAAAATGACAAGGCGCCAAAGGAACCTAAGTCGCCATCGAAGGCTACAAAGTCTCCAAAGAAGTCACCTAAGAAGGCTTAGTCTAGTCTTTGCTTCTTATTTCTCTTGTCTATGTAGCTTCCTTTGTGAGCTTTCCTTGTAGAAAAAATGTGGATGTTGGTAGGAATTTAGGGCCATTGTACTTCTAATTGTCTGTGTTGTGTAGAACATCCTATGTTTGGAATGAATCAAATGAAATTTCCATGATCTAATTCTGTTTTTATGCTACAAGTTTGTTATACTCCAGTACTTTGTTTATTAAGTTGTGTTCTGTTTGTGTTCTTGCTCTTGATTAGATGGCTGAATTGGCCACCTTTTATGATGAAAAACCTTGTAAATTTAGCAGTGTAAGACTTAGCTATCAGATTACAGTGACGTTTGTTGCTTGCTGATAGTTGAAGTTATTTTAGCAAAAGACAGAAACCACTTGCTTGAAAATGGGATTTAAACTGTCAAACTCTATATCCATCATTGTCATATAAAAGGTTGAAACAATCTTAAAAGGATCTAATTTTGAGTCTTCAACCTACAACACCACCTGCACTGCTTCAACATTTCTGCTAACTCGGTATTATATTAAAGTATTAATACTGTAAGCCTTAGTTTCTTTGCTCCAACACTTGTGTTTGGTAGGAAAATTAGTAGGAGAAAGGTGTGGAAGGGAAAAAAAATGAATGAAATTGATATTTGGTCCTTGTAATGAACCACAGAAATGTTTGAAATGGTACAAATGCAAATTCACCATTTTCTTCTTACCAAATAAGAAAAAATAGTTTTGCCCTCTATTTTAATACCTTTATGTAATTTGTTGAACTATAAGCTGGTAGGAGCTGAACATGTTTACAAGTAATAGGCCTTTGGTATGATTACAGATGTTTAGGTTGAATTGGTAGAAGGAAAATGTCTGAAACTTGCTTCCCATTCACTTCATGCCTGTTTTGACCTGACCTTGGACATCTCATTCGATACGTTTCCTTCCTCTCAAGTTTTTTATTTACTTTTATTCCTATGATAGACTTAGAATCCTAACCTTTATGGCTCGATTCTTCTTCAATCTATCTCCCTTACCCTGTCCTGTGCTTCCTTTGGAATTCCACCCAGGATTTTCCTAACAAATCTGTCAAAGATTACCTTATTTTGCTTACCAGTGAAAAATTACTCCAAGGCTTTGGCAAAATGCACGTCAAATTCACAATCCGAACTCAAAATGTGTTGAAACTCATCCATCTCAATCGAACTCTTAATTTCCCATTTAATCTCCAAATCCAAGATTAGACCCAGAAGTAAATAAGTAAAATCATGATGCTAAACCCAAACATATATTCTTGAAAAAAATAAATATAGAACCCATTTGGATTTCCATTTATCTGTCCATTACAACTAAACTTCAGTACATTAAAAGCATAGAAAAGGGAGAAAAAAAAATTAATATCCGAAACCGGAGATACTAATCGGATCCCAATCTCAACCAAAATTGAAAGAAATCTAAGAACTGGTAAACTTGGTAACCGCCTTGGTTCCTTCGGAGACAGCGTGTTTGGCCAGTTCACCAGGCAAAACCAATCTCACCGCCGTCTGGATCTCCCTCGATGTAATGGTCGGCTTCTTGTTATACCTAGCCAATCTGGAAGCCTCCTGGGCCAGTTTCTCGAAGATATCATTGATGAAACTGTTCATGATCCCCATGGCTTTGCTTGAGATCCCGATGTCAGGATGAACCTGTTTCAAGACCTTGAAGATGTAAATCTTGTAAGTCTCGGTGCTCTTCTTAATCTTCTTCTTCTTCTTATCGCCGCCTTCTTTTGAGATCTTCTTCTCGGCCTTCGGCCTCTTCTCTGCCGATGCTGGGGCCTTCTCCGCCACTGGCTTTTTCTCGGCGGGCTTCTTCTCTGCCTTTGGTGCCATTGGTAATGCAGATGAGATGAGAACTGTGGCTTCGGAGAATGAGATGAATCTGGGCGAGAGCAAATTGAGGGAGTTCGGTAGGGGTACATTGGGGGAGACGGGGTTCTTTATATAGAGAGGTGAGATAGAATTTGATTGGTTGATTGAGTTTCACGCGAATCGACGACGTGGCGTTTTTGAGTCGGTTAGATGATAGGAGCAGTGCGGGGCAAAGATTTGGATAGTTCAGTTAATATTATTAAATGAGGAAAGCGGATAAGGAATGGGCTTTGGATTTGAACTCCCTTTCAAAACTTGCAAATTTGTTATAGTTTTCATGGCTTATTCAAATGGCCCATTAGTCTCAATCTTTGGGCTTTGTTTGAGTTCTTTTTATCCCAAATTAGGGATGAATGAGAATTTTATAATTCAATATCCTGTATTATCCAATTGATTAATTAAAATTAAAACATTTCATAATCAGATTAAGATAGTCATTTTATAGTACTCATTTTTCTTATTCAAATATAAATATTGATTTTTAATATTAAATTTTGATATTATATATATTGTTTATAATTAATATAATGCTAACTTAAATTCATTGATTGTCAATCTTTTTATAAATTATATTAATAATATACATACAAATTGATTATGGATTTATTTTAATCAATGAATACAAATTCAAGTAATAAATTCAAAATTGAATAAAATATTTATAGAGTTTCGATACCTTATTAAATAATTTAGTTTTCTACCCGTTGCATACCACCGATTTTTTGGATGCGAAATGTGCTTATCCTTTGGGCAGAAAATAATTAGTATATTGAGAATGGCAGTTAGAGAGATTTCTAGATAATTTATTCATTGGATGTAATTATGCAATGGCAGATGAGAACCCAGAGAATCAGGCTTCTCTCAAAAGCCATGAGAATCACACGATGGCGCATTCTGAAACCGAAGAGACAACCCAATGATTGTGTAAATCCCACAGGATTCACACTACAAAACAACAAAATGTCAGCAAACCTTTACATCATGTTCCTCTTAACCCTCACTAACATCGTGCAAGGGGAGAGGGGAGACAGATAAAATTGGGTGTATATATAATATAGCCAATACAAAAGAGCGCTGCCACCAAATGAGACCATGTTATTGCCACACATCGTACACAAGCACAAACTGTAAGCAACAGGTTGATGAATACAGATTTTCAACTCATAAAACTGAAAAAACCTGCTTGAACAAAATCATGTCTGATCTTACAAAACAAACAACTTCTATTGTATTGGAATTGCATATGCTAAAACCCTAGAAGAAACCAGGAGAATCCCTGAGCCGCTCAGCAGTGTGCATGATACGAAACAAAAGCCTCAATCTCCCACTGAATGATGTACTGAGTGACGGGCCTTTCTCGTTTCAAACTCAGAAAGCCCGTGTGAACTTCCAATCTAAACCCTGTCAATTTCAGAAGGTAGAGACATGAATTATATTAAACACCCATCCATTAAAAATCACTACTAAAATAAGTCTCCAAGGACGTAATTTCACGAGATCAACACAATAAGTTACAACAAAGCACTCAAATGTGAGTAAAAATCTGAGGTGGAACCTAAACAACCCCAGAAATTTTACTCCCGTAAAAGAATTTTGTTTTTCCTTAATGTGTTGTTTTTTGATAGTCCTGTCTCCGAGATCTAATCATTTAAATATTTGAGGATATCAATGTACTGTGAGTACAGAGGTAGTTTTAAACCCATCTAGAATACAACAACTGCAGCTCGAACATCAAAAGGACTTTGCCTTTATTCACAGACAAAAACACTGGTTTCTTTCTAGCATCTCTTGTATCCTATACAGATATTAGTTCACCCAAGTATAAAATAAGGCATCAGGTAACACTCATACACTCACCAGTTCATGCTAATTCATTGTCCCCGAACATGAAAAACCACCAAAATCAAAGTCCCAATTGTTTGCTACTCAAGTCAGATGACTCTCATTAAACTTCTATGATGTCCTATATCTATCAGACATGAAAAGAACATGATGGCATATCAGACACGCTTCTATTGCCAATTGCAGCTTGAAAAATGTAGTGCTATAACTGTTAGGCATGAAATAAACATGATGATACATCAGCCACGCCTCCATTGCCGATACCAGTTTAAAAAAGGTTGTGCTATAGTTATCAGACATGAAACAAACATGATGGCATAGCAGGCACACCTACATTGGCAATACCAGCATGAAAAAGGTTCAATTACCATTGCAAGTCATCGATATCTTTACATAACTGCCAGCGTACCACGCTCACTGCTATTAGCAGCAAAAATCATTGCCAGGAATTTGTTAGAATTACATCAATTCGAAAACTAATAGTTAACGAAAGCCATTTTGAAGACCACACATCTAGCAGCAGTATTTATCACTTTGCAATCACCTTATCTTACGTTTCTATTAATTTTATAGAACATTTAAACATCAAGGACACACTTTAACAAAACAATAAGAATGTATGAGAAAGTTGATTAAAGCTTGCTTTTCACATAAACAAGGAGGAAAAACCAGAAGCAAAAGAACCAAATATTTCCAATTTCACTGTCAAATTTCAAACCGCCAAAATAACAGACTTCAACACATCAGAAATATCGAACAAAGGCCAATGAGAGTTTTATATAAACCTGGGAGAATTGGCATTGATATTCCTATGAAGAATCCGACCCCCACCCGATTCACCACCTCCATCAATCAACTCCCTCAATCCCAAATTCCCAACTTTCTCCTCCTCCTCCTCCTCCGCCTCCTCTTCTTTATCTTTCTCATCACGTGCCACGCGCGGCTTTCCCTGCAATCTCTCAAAGTAATTCCCGTAAATATATTCAGGCGTATATCCATTTTCTTCATCAAACAACATTATATGCCCATGCCACTCCCAAACCCGATAATCCGATTGTTTCTCTTCGTGAAAAGTGATGCAAATATGGTGCTCGTTGATGGTAACGGCTTGACCAGAGTTTGGTTTCAAGGGGTCGGTTTTCCCTGATAGGATGATCCGGATAATTTCCTTTTCGAGCTTGGATTCCTCTTTGGCGAGCTGGGTTTTGCTGTTATCCTCGGAGTCAGAGTCCGACAAATTGGCGGCGTCGAGAAGCAGGTCTTCGAGCGATTGGGTGAGAACAGGGTTGTTGTTTGGTGGACGGATTTGGAGTCTTCCCATTAGGGTTTGGAGGAGGAGGTTGTCGAAGTTGGTGGTGTTGGTGAATGAGCTCATCCTTCCTCTTTCTCTTTGTTTCACTGAGAAAGGGTTATATTAGGGTTTAAGAGGGGAGAGAC